AGCAGTGCTAATGAATATTTGAACCCATATTCAATGGCAATGTCATCATCATGGCTTNGGCCGCACAACCCCTGCTACCAACTGATGACTGGCTTGTAGTACTTTTGCTGAATGACTGACTGGAGTGAGCAGTGCTAATGAATATTTGAACCCATATTCAATGGCAATGTCATCATCATGGCTTTCGTCCAATTAAGAGGAACGCGTACACGAGTGAGTGTGTGCATGCAAAGTAGAGCACCACCACCACTGTGCAAGGGCAAAGGGCACGGCAGGCGGACATAATACATCGAGACACACAAAAAACATAGCCCAGAACCCGTGCAAAAAACCGAGTGCAAATGCTGGTACTGCTGCTGCCCGAACAAAAGGGGGTCGTCGACGATTATGCAGACGAGTGCACAAGGTTGTGTAATGAGAGAGTAAACGAGAAAGAGAAAGAGAGAACTGCTGAGATCAACGACACACAAAGTGTGTAGCTAAATGGCCAACGCCGGTAGAAAAGGAAAGAGAGGATGCCGAGGACTCCCTTCTTTCTCATTAAGGCAGCAACTGGACCGCACTGGGGACTGTCAACTGCCGCTGCTGCTGCTGATGCAAGACGGCAATGAGTAAAGTAGCACAGCAGCTCGACGTGAAAGGTCTCCACATCCTTTTTACTCTTGACACACACAGACACACACTCGACAGACTGGATGACTGAGAGACAAACACAGTATCGTTACAGAGCTGCTCAGAGCTCAGAGCCTGTCAGAGCATAACCGAGCGGAGAAAAGAAGAAAGAGAGAGAGCCAGAGCAGAAAGTGTGCAAACAAAGGGCCAGCTAATGTAAATTATGAATGAGATGTCGAACTCAGGGAGTGTCAAGGGAGAGAATGGCAAACGGTGATGAATGGAACGTCAGGAGATGTGCGAGAGAGAGACATCGCATACAGGAGATGCTGGAGACGATGCTCTGAAGACGAGAGTGTGTGTGATCTGCTTGATGAAGATCGGTGGTGGTGGTAGTGCAATCACACAATTTGAATGTCAAAGAACAGTGCAAGGTACACGGGAAAAGGTAGAAAAAAAGGAGAAAGGGAGAGAGGGGAACAGCCGAAAACGTTCACAGCCAAGTGAAAGGCACAGTGGTTTGGTGAATGAAAACTGGGGAACATAACGTCCGCATTGTGATAGACAAAAGTCGCTTGGTCGGTCTTTCTCGTTTTCGGACTTCATGACAATTGCAATTAGATTGGTGCCACCAAAAATCTCCACCACTAATGCCACCAATGCTAAATTGGTTTCTTGGCAAGACAAATTGCAACTGACTGATACTGATTGCCTGAAATGAGTTAAACGATTTATTGCCTTCTACCTTGGCACCTTGGCACCATTTTTTTAATGACGTAAAACGAAGTCCCAACTTTCACAACAGACACTGCAAGATTTTTATGTTAATTGCGCCGGTAATGAGCAGCAGCAGCAGCAGTAGTTGAAAAGTGCTGAGTTTGGCAAAAGTGAAAAAAGAAAGAAAGGACTGCAATGTGTGTGTGTGAGTGCGTTTGTCAAAAAAGGAATTGGTGCTCACGACTGTGCACAGATGGGCATCCCAATCCCTACACTCGAGCACCACCGAGCATCGAGAAAGAGCTGCTGGTTTCGATTGATCGAATCGCCTGCAATCAGCATCTGCATGCATAATTCGGGGCGCATTTGAGCATCGGATCCAAGAGCGAGCGGGTGAGTGAGTGAGTGATGGATGGAGAGCAGAGCAGAGTAACAGCAGTGGCAATGAGAGCAAACGAAACGGATGGAGGGAGCAGTTTAAATTTTTAAATAAAAAACGCAGTTCAATTGATGGACGGCACAATGGGCAGTGATGCAGACGAAGCCATCGGGAAAGGGAGAGAAATAGATGGAGAGAGGAAGCGAAATCGGTTGCTGGCTGAATTATGCAAATGACAATGCCTGATGGAAAATGGATACCAAGAGAGAGACAAAACTGAAGGGAAAAGAGGCCCTAGCAAAAAGGGGAAAGAAACGGGTGGTGCAGTACGGATGCGGCCGCACCGAGGGGACAAGCGCGGGACAGTGTCTGCCTGTGAGCACTGTGCAGTGCGGCAAAAAAGAGTGGCCAACTAACTAACTGTGTGCTTACACTGTCTGAAAGGGGACCGTATGTGCAGTATGCTGTCGATGCTAACAAACAAATGGCAAACATCACACAAAGGGGACAGACAGCGACAGGCAGAGAAGGGAAAGGGAAGGGGACTGCGAATGGAGTGAGCTAGAACAAGAACGGCACAGAAATGGGCAAAGGGATCAAACAGTGAAAACAACACTGATGGCAGTATTGCTAACCGGCAAGTTGCTAGATTGCACACACTCTCTGGATCGGTCCATTTGGGAGCAAAAGGGAGGAGGTCAATTGGGTAGTTGCAGTTTAGCAGTTGGCAACCGAAACTAACAGTTCAGCTGCAAGAGCTGAAATGGCAAAAATGCGCGGGTGCATGCAAGCCTGACCGTGCAATTAAGTACGTCCAATAATTAAAAGGGTAATTGCAAGTAGAAAAAGAGAGAGAAAGAGAGAATATACCAGGGAATTAATTAGCGATAGAACTGGAATAGCTGGATCGTAAAGGAGAAAGATAATGAGCAGAGCACACACATCTGCAGCAGCAGCCACTGTAAATGCCATAAATTCCAGACACGCAGTCGGTGCGAGAAGGAGGAGGAGGCGTAAATTAACATAAATATCGATTATGAGTAAGAAGTGCACCGAAAAAAAGTGGAATGAGCGGGGGTAAAACGGAGTGAAATTGTGAAAAAGGAAAAAAGATGGAGAATTATTAGCACACAATCGATAGGAGGGTTATTAATGATGGAGGAAAAGGGAGAGATGAAATGAAAATAAATGGAAAAAGCGAGTGAACCCAAAAGAGAGAGAGAACTAGACAACACTGCTTTGCTCGACTACTTTAGCAGCCTTCGCCGACACACAGAGCAGCAGCCAGCATTAAATTCACATTAACTTGAGCTGCGCAGTTTAAAATTGTAAAATTTAAACTTAAAATTTGATCAAATCGAGTGAGTGTTTGTGTGTGTGTGCGTGTTTACGATAAGAGTGCACACCATTGCTGTGCTGCTGGTGGCTCACTGGTGATAAGGGTAAAGGGAAAGAGACAGTAAGCAGCAGGAGAGGACATAACGGCAGAAAGGCACACACAAGGGCACACACGTGTGGCTGCCAACAGCAACGACAACTGAAAAAACTGGTAAAGGGGACAGAGAGAAAAGGGCCACGCGACAATGCGACAAAATTGAATTTTTCAGCCATCTCAGGCACTGGTGAATAAATAAATAAATCAGAGATGAAGTATAATAATGAAAAGCTAAAAAGGAAAAGTGCGCACTGTCATCAGCGACTACTGCAGCATGGTGATCAGTGAGTGCGCTGGAAAGAGCCTGATTTAGCCTTTCGATAGGACTGAACAACAAAATTCTCAATAACACTTGCCAATCGATTGGCAGATAGTGTCGAAAAGTGGCATTCGCTAGGTGGTGGTGCCATAAAAGTGCCCAACTTTTGGGTGATCTTTTCCTCCGGTTGCTCGATTCACTCCTGTGCTAATGAGCGTCAAAACCACAAGCGACAAATTAAATGACCTGTCACTGATTTATGGCACTTTAGAGCTGCACAGTTGTTGCTGTTGTTGCCTGACTTGCACTTTTAAATTGCTGGCAATGTCAAGGTCATCAAAAAAAGTCAATGGATGAAAGGGAGAAAAGTGACCACTGGCGCTGTCTGGACCTAGTGACCTAGTGGCCAGATGGAGAGAGGGAGAGAGAAGTGGAAGAAAGAGGCCACCAACCCTTGCTGGCTATCATTAGGACGACCTTGTCAGCTTCCTTTCCCTAGCGCTCGACCTAGCCAGTGTGTGTGCAGTTTTGTGATTTATGGCCCCTGCCACCTTGCAGTTGGGTGGTGTCGCAATGTGGACGGCCGAGGCAGCCAGTCAAAGCAGCAGCAGCAGCTACCATTCATCATCGCCGACTTTTCACCATCCAACTGGCAAGCGGTTTTGTGGCTGCCAACAACAGCACACACACACACCGACACTATTATCACTCCCATGAATTTGCATATAAATTGTGTGTTTCCCTTTCAGTGGCGGCGGCGGACACACAAGCGAACTGGTGGAGTAGTGTCTTTCGGTGTGTTGGTGGTTGGCTGTGTCAAGCTTCCAACACACTCAAACATTAGCAGTGGCATTGTAAGGCAGTATTCGTGAGAAAACGAAAGTGTCACTTCTTTGTGAGGGTACTTCTTTGCCATTTTTTCTTCTTCGTTTCGGTTACGGCACATAAAGCGACCGCAAAAACATGTCGCGTAACAGAAATTCAATATCATTATGAGACGTTGCAGAGTTAAAAGAGTGACAGAGGCATACAGCAGAACAGGGAAAGTATTAGTGCTACCTCATTAGGCTCACTCTTCTTTTCGCTGGTCAGTGACCAGTGTGTAAAAAAGTCGGCAGACTTGAACAAATGGAGTGCATTACCATTAGAAACAATACTTCTCTTATCAGAAGTAGGTACATCTATTTCACTGCTACAAAAAAGCAGTGTGCCTCAAATATTGATAAACTACATTGATTATCTTTGATCAGCAGTCATGTTGGGGGAGTTGACTGACGTTGCAAAATGAGTAAAAGTACTGTAAAATTTTAAATCAAAGCTAACATGTGTCGCAATGAGCTTGTATACTTGTTTATCCAGTTTTGCCGGTCAATTAATTGGCGTTGCTGGCCACACTTGCAACACACACAAGTGCCATTTTAATCCTGTAATCCAAAGTGTTTGACCTGTGAAGTGTGTTGTAGTGAACATCTTGTCAATTATCTCAAATTTATTGAAAATTATGCAACAATCTCGTCATTTAGGGCATTTATAATAAATAAAATTAAAAAATTTACTATTTGTTTTTACGCGAATGATTGTGATACTTTCAAGAAGATATGTTTAAAAGGTTTAAAAATGGCAAAAACAAAAATGACACTAATGAGCCAACTGATGCAAAGGTAAGTAGTCGGTGAGTGAGTGAAAACAAAAATAAATGTTTATCTTTTTAAACAAAAGAAAGCATCAAGTAAAGAGGTGCACATTGTGGAGCACCAGATGACCATCGGTCAAGTGTGTGCCAAATACGGCACTCATATGAAGCAAGGCCTCAGTGAGGCAGCAGCTGAAGGGCGTCTAAGGCGTGATGGGCCAAACACCTTCACCCCACCTAAAGATAAGCCATGGTACATACTATTTCTGAAAGAAATTTCAGGAGGATTCGCACTGTTGCTGTGGCTGGCTGCCATTGGCAGTTTTGTTTCCTTCTGCATTGAGCACAAACGCCAAGATGTAAGCATATCAGAGCAGATTTTAATAAAACTTCAGTTTCTGATTTTCATTTCTTTAAGATAGGCCTACCTCAGCGGTATTCTCGTCTTTACCGTCCTCTTAACGGGAGCCTTTTCCTACTACCAGCAAATGAGCAGTTCAAAAGTTTTCAAATCATTTAAAAATTTGACGCCACAGGTAAGTTAAAAGTGAAACAAATTGCAAAATTTCAACTTACCAAAACATTTGTAGAGTGCCCTCGTCCTTCGAAGTGGCAAGAAGCAGTCAATAGCCGCTGAGCAGCTGGTTGTCGGCGACATTGTCTTCTGTCAGGCTGGAGATCGCATTCCCGCCGACGTTCGCGTCATTCAGTCAAACTGCTTCAAGGTGGACAACTCCTCCATTACCGGTGAGTCAGAGCCGATTCTGAGGACGGTTGAGCAGGCGAAAGCAGGTGTCAACGCCCTGGAGGCGACCAATCTGGCCTTCTTCAGCACCAACGTCACCGACGGCACGGGAATCGGCCTCGTGGTGGCCACCGGGGATCGGACTGTCATGGGCGACATTGCCGCCATCGTCACGACGATTGAACACGGCCAGACGCCGATAGCCCGGGAGATCAGTCACTTCGTGAAGATCATCAGCGTGCTTTCGGTGCTGAGCGGCGCCATCTTTGGCGCCGTCTACTACGGCCTGGGAACGTCCTTCTTCAAGTCCTTCCTCTTCATGATCGGCATCACCGTGGGCAACGTTCCCGAGGGCCTGCTGCCGGCGCTCACCGTCGCACTGACGCTGACCGCAAAACGGATGGCCTCCAGGCAGTGTCTGGTGAAGCACTTGGAGGCGGTGGAGACGCTCGGCTCCACTTCGACCATCTGCACCGACAAGACGGGAACGCTGACGCAGAATCGCATGACCGTCGAGCATCTGTGGTTTGGAGAAGAGACGTACCTTTTTCGCAATGGAGCAATTGTTCATGATCTTCTAGAACAAGAAGAGATTCAGCTGCGTCTGGACTGGCTGTCGCTGAAGCGCTGTGCAATGCTCTGCTCTAGAGCGGAGTTTCTAGACGATGGACCGGTGGTGGAGGAGCGACTTTGTGCTGGTGACGCCTCGGAGACGGCCATTCTCAAGTTTCTTGAGCAGGCGAGCAGCTCGGTGGACGAGTATCGGAGTCTGTATCCAAAGGTAAAGTTTGAGTCAGATTTGATAACTTATCAGCTGAGTGTTGTTATTGTTGTTGTCCTTTTTGCAGGTGGCCGAAAAACCGTTCAACTCTACAAACAAGTACCAGTACTCGATTCACAAGTGTCACAATGCCATCACCGGCTCATTTGGCAGCTTCTTTCTAGGTACTTGCTGGGCGATAATTTTGAAAACACAAGTTTACAAGTTTTTTTCCTGCAGTAATCAAAGGCGCTCCTGAACGCCTGATCAGCCTCTGCAGACGACGGGTAAACAGCCGAGGCAACACCGTTCAGCTGGACGAAGACTTTATCGGCCGCTTTGAGGATGCCTACCGCCAGTTTGGCTCACAGGGGGAGCGGGTGCTGGCCTTTGCCGATCTGGAGCTGCCACTGGACGAGTTTGGCCATGACTACCGCTTCGACGCGAGCCTGCTCGATGAGACCATCCGCCTGGAGAATCTGCGCTTCCTCGGACTGATCTCCATGATGGACCCGCCGCGACCGGGCGTCGCTGAGGCGGTCAGGCTCTGTCGAAATGCCGGCATTCGCGTGGTGATGGTCACCGGTGACCACCCGCTGACGGCGCAGGCCATCGCCAGGACGGTCAACATCATTTCCTCGTCTCACAGCAGACAGACTTTAATTAGCGGCTCGCTGGTGAGTACAGTGAGCGAGTGTGAGCTCTCTCGAACCAGGTCAATCGTAGTTCCCGGCGATGAGCTGGTGAAGATGAGCGACGAGCAGCTTCAGGAGACGCTACTTCTTTACGGGGAGATTGTCTTTGCGCGAAGCAGTCCAAAGCAGAAGCTGCGCATTGTGGAGGCCNGGCTCGCTGGTGAGTACAGTGAGCGAGTGTGAGCTCTCTCGAACCAGGTCGATCGTAGTTCCTGGAGATGAGCTGGCGAAGATGAGCGAAGAACAGCTCCAGGAAACGCTTCTACTCTACGAGGAGATCGTCTTTGCTCGAAGCAGTCCCAAGCAGAAGCTGCGCATTGTGGAGGCCTTTCAGCGACTGGGGGAGATTGTCGCCGTCACCGGAGACGGCGTTAACGACTCGCCCGCCCTGAAGAAGGCCGACATTGGCATCGCCATGGGCATCGCCGGCTCGGAGGTGTCCAAACAGGCCGCCGACATGATCCTCCTCGATGACAACTTCTCGACGATTGTGGTCGGCGTGAAGGAGGGCCGGCGCATCTTCGACAACATGAAGAAGACGGTCGGCTACATTCTCTCCGGTAACGTGACCACCATCTACCCGTTCATCGCCTACGCCACCGCCGGTCTGCCCATCGCCATCACCACCATCACGGCGCTGCTGATCGCCCTCGGAACGGACATTGTGCCGGCCATTTCGCTGGCGTACGAGAAGGCCGAGGCGGACATCATGAGCGTTCGGCCGCGAAATGCCAAAAGGGATCGACTGGTCAACGTTAGGCTGCTGCTGCGCGCCTACGCCTACATTGGCGTGCTGGCCGGCTGCTGCGCATATGTGGGCTACTTTGTCACCATGAACCGAAATGGCTACACGCCGGCCATGCTCTGGCAGTCGAGGAGGCAGTGGGAGGGCAATGGCACATTTCCCCATTGGGTCTACAATGACACCACAGGACAGTACGGGCTGGTCGATACGGTAGAGGAACTACTTTACTAATTTTTGTTAAATGATGACCTTTTCTTTTTTATTGCTAGACCACTGAAGAGCGAGAGCACTTTCTCGTGGAGGCCCAGAGTGCCTACTTTTGCGGCATCATCGTCGCCCAGTGGATTGACGTTATCGTCTGCAAGACCAGACGGGTGTCCATCTTTAGGCACGGAATGAGGTAGGTGACATGGGGGATGAAAGGAAAAAGAAGAAGCTGCACTAGAATAAAGAGTTCGAAAAGCGGAAGCCCTTTTTGCCGACTCTTTTATTTTCGGTGAAATTTGAAACCGCCACAGTCTAAAGTGCACAGTCCACCGCAGCGCGACAGACACTACAAAAGTAAATTAAGTCTGGTTCTGCTTAATTAGCCAGACGCATACAGCTCTCTCTTTTCT